CAACAATAAATTATAACATTTTAAATATCTTATCCTAATTATATTATAAATTACATAAATTAAGCATATTTAGTCCGCCTAAAACAATGAGGCTCAAAATGTTTTGAGCATACACTGCTAAGTTTTGTTGGTTATCTATAATCACCAACAGTAGCGATTATCCAGCAATTACGGATAGCTGATTCTTTAGGAAAGCTGTAAAATAATATATTTAAAAGAAATTAATATATTAAATATATAGTACACTTTTATATCAAGGTATTTAAAAGAAATTCAAGTATGAGTATCTGTGCATAAATACAATACCTATAACAATTAATACAATATCAATTGATTTAATTAAATAGCAGGTATATGTAAATGTAATTATAATATTTTTCATACTAAACATTTAAAAAAAAATGTACATATTAACCTTTAGATATTGTTAATTAATACATTTACAGCCTAACAAATGTCCTCCACAGCTGAACATAGACCTCCCACATAGCTTGTCTGCAAAATAACTGCAGTTGCCAATCCTCCTGCCAAGCTAGACAACAATCATAAAACCTATAACTTTTGACTTTTGATAATGACTAATAGTAACTGTAAATATATTATCATCAAATTTTTTCTACATCATTAATTGAGAATATTATCTTACGTTGTTGTGTTATTGTGTACCTTAAGATTAAGACTTATTTATTTATTTATTATTTTATCTAAATTTATATAAGTATGACATATTTAGTTTATTTTTAATAAATATTGTAATGTAATTGTTGCTAATGTGTGATAGAGTTAATGGAATACAATAAAGTTTTGTGCATGTGATTTCAGGCAATACATATTTTGTGAAATTAAATATACTTTGTCCAATACTTATGTACTTGAACCCAAACATGTTTTCAGGTTGATAATTACATATTATTTGTGACATCTATTAATATAGAAAATGATTGAAGAGTTGTATATTATTGCCCAATAAGGAGAGTTTCCTTTAAAGCTGAACATAAAAGTGTATGCATATGTATAACATTATTTGATTCATATTTATGTACATAACTACTAATCACAATAATAATTATTATTGAACAATGGGAAAACATTATTGTACTCGATGATATCCCTAAAGTTTCCATAATCCTACCAAGTCAAAAAGTACACGTTTGCTATGACTTTAAGCTTTGCAATGACCATTCAAATTAAGGAGCATTATCATGAAGAATTTACAATTTGGGAGTCGAAATATTTAACAAAATACATCACAAAGTTCATTAAAAACTTGAAATGTTACACTTTATATTCAAAACAATAGATATTAATCAGTACAAATAGCAAATGTAAGCACAAAACAAACTTACCGATGAAAGGTAATATTATCAATTTTTCGTTGACTGATGCTATTGCATCCTAAAATGCTACAACTTACCATCTTTTTCACCTTACTTAATAACTAAAACCCACGAAAAACACTGAATTCAATTACCTGTTTGCTTATAATATTAATGATAATCACAAACGCTTGACATCGTTAATGTCAAATAAAGGAGGGAAAACAATCAAAAACGTATACTTAGAAAAAGACAAGAAATATTGTTTTGCTTCTCCCTTATTCTTATGTCTAACTATATACGTGCATTCCTTTCACACGCAGATGACGTCACTGAATGTTTAGTCTATAAGATACTATGTCTATGTGTATATGACAGTTACTATATAGTGTTCTGTGGTTTTTTTTTTGGAGTTTATGGCCTGGTATCTAGACCTTTAGGCCAAGTCTTAAGTATTTTTATTCGGTTTATTGTAATTTCCCCACTCCTTCATAGTATACTGCTTCACAATATGTTGATGCGTCACATTGTGCAGCTCCTGGGAGATTTTGGCGGCAACTTGATCCAGCAGACAGCTGATAGTTGGCGATGGTATCTAAAGGTGCCTATGCAAACAAACAGCTTATCTTGAGAATCCATCACCATCATAGCACCCGTTTCACTGTTTCCACTAATAGTTCACATGCGTAGACACTTAATACACAAAATCGCAACACTTTTACATATCAAAGTCCACTTCAAACCATTATTTAAACAATAATACAGGAGCAGCAAACCGCCGCCGGTCAATTTCCCGCCAAAAACTCTGTTCTGTGGTTACTATACTCTTTGCACAGAGTACATTATATATAGGGAATATATATCTTTGCTTTGAGTTGAGTCTGTGGTTATCTTACGTCATTGTATGCGACATCTTGTTCTTGTTCGAAATAATTTTCAGTTCTTTCTTTTCATTTTTGGTAATTCGGTCGATTTTTTTCAACCAGTTTAATACTGGGATATTTTTTTTCACAATTGTAATATGCTTGAAAAGAAGCCGAAACCGGCTTATAAACGATTTATTAGATACGCTGTAGGAACGGTATTCGTCGCGGAAGCTGTTGGAATTGCAGTATCATACGGCTTATATTTTAAATTAAATACAGATAGAGGTAAGTTAGATAAAAAATGTCTGAAAGGGTACAAAGATTCTTAAAATAAACAGGAAAACTTATTATCTAAAAGAAAAGAGCTATCACAAATGATTGGTATTAGAAAAAAATTACAATAAGAAATTAACTATTACACCGCACCTGTACCGTTTCAAGTATTTCGTAAGCCTTTAAATTGTTATATGATATATTTTATGTCTTAAAACAAGTTCCAAGCAATGGAAGTAAGAATGAGTGGGAATAAACTTGCAGGTGGATTACCCTGTTGTTGGATTCCACCCTTTTCCCGTCACTAATATTTTCAACTTCAAATTCCGTAACTTTCAATTCTTTGTTTTTAAGCTTGATTTTATAAAGTTACTTTGTGATTTAACATATTAATTGGCTCTTTCAACTTTGTGATTTACACATAATTCATTATTTATGTTAAAATTACCATCTTTTTCCGCCATGCAGTGACGGCGTAAGGAAATCCCCTACTCCATGTCATCCTGCGTATATCGTGAGAGATGACAAAAGGAAATAATTAGAGATGGGCAGAAGCATCTTCCTGATAAAAACTGCATTGCCAACCATTACGCAATCTATGGTGAAGCCTATGTTCTACAGTGAAATTGCATAGGCTGTAATTAATGAATATGTTCTTATTAGATTTGTAATGGCACCCATTGTATTTTGTGGTTCAATTTTATTTTATTTTATCATGAGCCATCTGAGTATTATATCAATAATTTTTTAAAACTGTTTTTAATAACTGCAATTGTTGAACTAAAACTTCACTCAAGTTAGTGTAATTTGTAATATTAGACACACTTGTTAGAATTGTAAGAATTTACAAAGCTTTACCTTTTTATTTTTACAGATTTCCGTTTATACATGCACAAGAATTACTACTGGGTATTGGATGGTTACTACAGTCTCGGTGAATTCCTAGGTGGGCACAAAACCCGTGAGTTAGATCACAAAGTCTGGACCAACGAAGGCAAGATATAAATCACCGGTGAGATGAGTGTTGCAGTTAGGTCCGGTTTTTGGATATTGACATTTGGAAGCCTCGGTTATGGACTGTTCAAGGTGGTCAAACCTGATGATGAACTGCTCAAGAAGGTCATTACCCTTTAACATATTAGTTACGTATGGTAACTGGTTTGATTGCTTTTTGGAGATCAGTTCATGTACCACTTAAAAAAATAAGTGACAATGATGATACCAAACTGTAGCTACCTCTTTCTTAAAAAGTACTACTTGACTTGTAACTTTTTGATTTGAGTGTTAACAGTGAAATTAACTTTTTAAACTTACTACTGTATAAGTAGGATAAACAAGATTTGTTATGTAGAGTAAATTTTAATTAAAAAAAAATAATTTTAAATTTTACTATGCTTATAAAACAGAATAACATATTTGTCATGTCTAATTTATTCTACCTCCCAGTGTTCCGTCGTCCAGTTAGCTGACATTCAGCTTGGATTTCAAATTTGAAATAATGGGTTGAATTCCCAAACTGAAAAGTGCTGGACCTAATAGGTCACCCTGCTGAAAACCAACAGTAGAATCAATAATTATTGATTTTTGTAAAACAAGTTAGTATTTTGATGGTAAAATTTCCAAATGTAAGGATAAATTTCAGGGTGTTGTTAGCTACTTCTTTCAGCAGGGTTAGCCTATCAATAGAGTTAAAAGCTTTCCTTTTCTTCCCTTCTTTGTTTGATAATGTTGTGTGTTTGTATGTGTGTCTGTGTGAGTCCTACTAATTTGTATATATAGAAAATCATTAATAAGAAACATTACAACTAAATTATTACAACTTAGAGCAATTGAAGAAAGGGACCTGAAATTGCTGAACTTCATATTTTAAAATTAATAAAACATATTATATGTGAAATATTTAAGAGAAATTCATCAAGTTTGATCACATACATATTATGAACCTGGAGTATTTGCTTGTAATATAAATTTATTGCGAACTTCAAGCTGGGTGTGACTGTGTAACACTTGGTACAAAAAATGTAACACCACATATTGGTACCAGTTATCTCTCATCTAGACTGTTATACTTTTTGATTGATCCTCTCAACCATCTAACAAAAGACACGTCTTGATCGTTTAAATCATAAATGTTATTGATAAGATATAAATAAAATCATGGTCTGAAGTTAATAAACCCACTGTAATGTCTGTAATTTGACATTTTTCATTACAAGCAAAGACTTCAGTCAGTACCGGCTTTTAGACTCAACAGTTTCAAAATGTTGCATTACTGTACACTCCCATAATGGTGTTCCAACCTAATGCTATTCTGTCAGCATTTAGTAAAAAATACAAATTTGTATATCATCCAAAACTGTTATTTACTTAAAAAAAATATTTTTATTTACCGACATTTCAATATTCAAATTTATTGTTTTTAGTTTGACGAAGGATCCAAGCACACCGACACTAGAAAACGTGCAAAAGATACAATAGCCATACTTAAGGAAGCTACTAAACAAGATTCCGAAATAAACAAGAAAATAGAAATACTTTTGAAAAAATGAGTGACAAAAATTCTATATTAGAAAGGCTGAGTAGGAGAGACGCACAACGCTTAGAAAAACTTCAAAAAGCTCACAAAGCCAGAGAGGAAGTCGATGCTTCCAATGAAAATGAAGATTTTTTCTCTGGAGCTTTCAAAATTAAATCTGAGTATATAGAACAACTGCTATCTCAAGTTCCTACATTAGAGGTGTCAGTGTTACCTTCCCATTTTGATAATATTAAAAGAGAAGTCAATGAACTGCAAAAATATGTTGTCACATCCTCATTTTTTCTCAAAGAGTTTAACATGCGCAAATATTTGGGAATTGTACAAAATTTACAATCAAAATGTTATGAATTAGAAGACAGATATGTCCCTCGTAAAAAGTTTGGATTCACAAAGAAGAAATTGCCAAAATCTGACAGTCACAAGCAAAATTCAATAGATGATCATGATGGTGTGGACAAAGTGGACAGTAACAAATGGGATGAAAAATTTTTTGGCTTTGATTCACAGAATGGGAAGGTGCTTCTACTGGAAAATGATGATCTATTCCAAAGAGATGTCGCATTGAGAAATCTTAAAAATTGTACAATTGGTCTCAAAGGTGTTATGGGAACATTGCACTTGACAAATTTGGATAATTGTGTCATTCTCTCTGGTCCAGTAACTTCATCTGTGTTTGTAGATAAGTGTACAAATTGTAAGATAGTCGCCGCTTGCCAGCAACTCCGCATGCACACTTCAAATAAATGTGACATTTACCTTCATGTCACAAGTAAGGGTATTGTTGAAGATTGTTCAGAAATAAGGACAGCACCATACAATTTACGCTATGATGATTTAGAGAAGCATTTTAACATGTCGTCTTTAGATAGGAATAATAATAATTGGGACAGTTTGGATGACTTCAATTGGCTGGCTCCAGATGTACCCTCACCAAACTGGTCAATCTTGGATGCGAAAGATTGTGTTCATGATTGGACAGAATGGTGGTCAAAGGTTCCATCATAATAAACTTATTTAAAAACAATTTAGAATATTGCCTTGAATTGAAAAAAAAATAATTTCTCATTTCAGAGGTGAATCAAAATACACAACTGTTATTAACTGGTGCTTCAAATTTCATTTATTTCTTAACTAACTTGCATACTGTAAATAGATTGTTTAATAACTTTAGTTTTAAATTTAGAACTGGACACAAAAACAAGATACAACAAAAATATGTTCAACAGCTCTGTATGTATAAGCCGCGCGTAAAAGATTTTGTGACGCTATTGGCATACCTGCGCGCGTATTGTATATTATCTGTCTTTGTGCAGTAAATATTTTCTCGTTCATTCACGCATCAACAGTTCACAGCCCGAACATAATCCTTTCCAACGTTTTTATTTTTTCAAAATTAAAATTTTACATTAAAAAATCAAAGATCTATGCCTGGAGCTTTTACTTCATTTGCATACACCTTTTTTTTCTTTGTGGTAAAAAAGTCGACCAGTCTAACGAACAAGCAACCAATTGTATACAAATTACACTAGTTTGTTGTGAGTTCTTTATTTATTTAAATTAGCATCAGTAATTTTGTTTGCAAATTGACCTTATAAAGATATATAATTTTTTTATTCTTAAAAATAATTATTTATGTAGTTATTATATTGGAATCATGTATTTTATATTTAAATAACAATATAAAATGAAGAGAGCATTTATAAGTCCAGAATGCCAGCCATAAAAAAATTAAAATGCATTTATATAAAATGTACAATTGGCAGACTTAATGCCTAAAGCCATTAAGTCCGCCAATTGTACGAGTACAATAAAGATTTAAATAAATAAATAAAATTAAATTTATTAATGCTGATGTATGTATGATGAAACTTGTATAGAAAAAAAAAACTTGATATAAAATAATATAACTGATAATTCTAATGTAGACTGCTGTAATTACAAGGTCTAGTTCATGGAATTTTCTTTAAAATGTAATATTTTAAAATAAACATGCAGAATACAGAATTACTTCTATTTCGATTCGCCCAAAAGCTTAAATAATAAATTATTACTTAATACGTAGATTCTTAGTTAACACAATATTTGCAACTTTAATAAATTTAATACAATTATTTATAATATATAATAAAGACTATATAATGTAATTGAAGCATTTTTTTATTTGACGATCCCACTGACTGATTTTCGACCACGGTACTACTCGAATAATCGGAAACCATCAACACGTAAAGCAGTAGACCAGCTGGCCTTTAATATACACAATTTTTTTTAAAGATTAAGATTGAAACAATTTAATACTTAGACTGTGTGGTAATATTTGAAATAAACTCCTCTAGTTCCGAAGAATTTTTTAGCCGAAAATATTTGTTGTTAAGACTTAAGACTACTAGAAACCTTATTTACGAAGTAAAAAGACGAAAAGGCTGATATATTGGGGCATCCAATAACTCATAATTCCTGTTAATTCAGTAAGTCACAAATCAACAGTGCGATTTTTTTTTATATATTATTTTTTATAGAATTCGGGTGACAAACGAGCACACAGTCCACCTGATGGTAAGTGGTTGCTGTGGCCCATAGACATCTGCATCTATCTTCGTTTGCGAATTAAAATGCAGATGCGTTGTCAGCCTTGAGGACTAAGATAGAATGCCTCTTTTCCAGTAAAATGGGTCACCGGTTCTCTACACACCATACGAAACACAGCAGCATTAAGCTGCTATTTTACGCTGGTATTCTGTGAGAGCGTGGTCCTTCCCCGGTCGAGCCGACCCATTCGTGCTACAACTATACTATTAATATAGGTGCAGCATAGCTCTACCACGTAAAAAAGTTTGCACACTTGTGCCTCTTAGTCGCGCCGTAAGAGAATCCATAGCTTAATTTCGTCACGTGAGTGTTGTAAGAGGCGACTACTCCAAAAAAACATGTCAGATGATATTATACCTCATGAATTTATTATAAACTGACGTTAGAATAACTATCTGGTCGTAGTAGCAGTAGTACTCCAAAAGTAAAATATATATACCGCGACGCGAAGCGACGTCAAAGGTGTGAGATATCTGGTACATCGCTAATTCACCTGCAAAGGGTGACGATTGAGGCAAATCCTTACAACGAAAGAGCCCATTGTCCAGCCGTGGCCTTTCGCTAGTAGGCTTGGCTTGGGTAAAAAATATCGATATTTTCTCTCAAAATTATCGATATTTTTAATGGCGATGTTCGATATTTATTTTAAGAATATCGAATTTTAAAGACAATATTAATCAACAAAAGCATTATGTGTGGTTTTTTCTTCGTCGTCAAACCGTCCAGTAATTAAATTTTAGCCCCCATGCTACTACATCATGCCAAACATTACGATATATCGATATTTATCACGCGATAATTATCAATACTGTTTAAAAATATCTATATATTTTTTCACTTGCTCGTCCCTATTTAGACGTGATGAAAATTGGTACCGACTGGAGCAAAAATCTTTAACATGCAACTTAGTAAACATTTACTTTAACTTTTTAAGCGGCCATCAATGCTCGTATTGAAGTACCTACCTACGGAAAAGTAGGACGACATGTAACGACGAGTAGTTCAAATTTTGTATAAGATTTGTATCGTTAGCTTGATAACTCAGGAAACGGGATCACAGCTTCTCTTGGCGGGTCCAAATAGGCTCTAAATCGAAATTTCTTTATGCAATTTAGAGTTGTTTTAAATTAATTTGATAGTCAAAATCAGCCATCGGTTGGAACCGTCTAAAATGCGCTGGTAGCAGCTGGATACTGGAAAATCGAGAATTGGCAGACCTTTGCATTATCCAGCAGTAGTACGCTAATGATAGTGATAATAAAATCGTCAGTTCGAGGAAAAAGATGGCGATCGTCAAACCGCCTGGCAAGAGTGGCGATTTCAGCAAATCTACATTTTTATGGGACAGCAGTTTTTGTTTATTTGTATGTTGATAAAGTTGTTTGTTCAGATCGGACAGGATATTTTTACATAATATTGTATTATTATTACAGAATATTATCAGGTGGTGTGCGGTGGTTACTTTTTCTCTAAATTCATTTCATAAAGGGTTCGTGATAACGACATTAGCTTTGCTAGTAAGGAGACCGGGGAGACAAGGATTTGATTTTAGCTACGGCTGAATTTTTTTTTTATAGATAATGGTGACAACCAGCGCACAGTCCTTCTCATGGGAAGTGGTTGCTGTGGCCCATAGACATCTACATCTATCTCAGTTTGCGAATTAAAATGCAGATGCGTTGTCAGCCGTGAGGACTAAGATAGAATGCCTCTTTTTCCAGTAAAATGGGTCTCTGGGTCTCTGCACTCACCATACGAAACAGCAGTATTAAGCTGCTATTTTACGCTGGTATTCTGTGAGAGCGTGGTCCTTCCCCGGTCAAACCGACCCCTTCGTGCTACAAATATACTATTAACTGTTACTACTATTGTATGCTGCAGCATGACTCTACCACGTGCAAGATTATAAACCCCTGTCGCAGCTTCTATCAGTCATGTAGTACGTTATAGACTGCCGGACAATGATTAAAAAACATTTAACAATAAATATTTATTTATTTACTTCGGCAATGGAATTACGTACACATCATATATAAAAATTACATCACAGAAAATTTACAATTGATTTTTTTTGTATTGTATTAATTTGCAGTTAATTTCTAAAATATATAGAATATAAAATATTAATAATTATTACACTTAGTATAATATTATGTCTATTATTATCGGTTTTGTTATAAACTGTCGTGGTTTAAATGTGTTATATCATTATATTTAACCCTTAATATAATACAAATTATTGTTATTATACACTTCCTCATAATTTCAAGACTTCAGTCTTCATTTTCATGTAATGATGGATGACATCTAAGAAAGTAAAGGTCATGATTTTTTTATGAAACAACACAAAAGTTACGCATCACATAAATCAAACTAATTAACAGTAGTAAGTGACAGAGACTGTGAATTGTCATATAAGGCTCGACCTACATGTTTTACTACTCTTTATATTATTTGTTATGTATAAATGCATTTTCCCCTTTCACTAGACAAACTAGTGATATTTTTTTTAAAATATAAACAGAGATTCTAGATTTCATGTTTATGTAAAACAATAGAAAGAATGTAAATTTAATTAAGTACATTACCCGGTGGTGTTTTATGACCTCATACATTAAAAGATAAAAATAATCTCATAATTGTTTAACCAAAAAAGTAATAAAGAATAAAAAGTTGAGACTAATATTGTGTAACATTCATAAGTAAATTATATAACACCCTATTTAATATTAATATTACGCTTAGTTGCCACATGATATGTATTTTAAACAAAAACAAATTTTTAAACCTTAAAATCTTATACACACAGGCAATAGTTACCGAAAGAACTTTGTTGAAGCACACTCAAAAACAATTTCTAATAATACCTATTCGAATTGTAGTAAAATAAAACGAGTTATTGAATTTAACTTTTCGTAAAATATTATTAAAACCATTTTTGAAACATGATATTGATATTAGGTTTTTTTTAATCGGGCATATTCTAATAGGTTTATTATTAAAATATAGCTTTGTATTTGTGACCATGTAATTATTAAATAAATAATAAGCCAAAAAATTACAATTAAATTCAGCCATGTTTTTTGAGAATCAATCAAAATTGAAAATACGTGAATATTTTTTTAATAAAAAAAGTTAGTCCGGTTTTGTTTACTATTATAATGTTCGTTCAGGCCTATGTTCAGCAGTGGACTTATGAAGGGCTGTAATGATGATGAATGATGAATGTTCATTCGGATTTATAATTTTAAAATACATAGAATATTTTTAAAACTATGAAGTATAAACAAGGACATAACATAAGTATGGCAAATTACAAATGTGGATAGGTTTTTTATATATATACCTAATAGGGGTGACAAACGAACACATAAACCATCTCTACTGATAAGTGGTTGCTGTGGCCCGTACACATCAACATTAATTCTCGATTAAGAGTTAAAATGCAGATGCGTTGTCACCCTTGTAGACTAAGATGGAATGACTCGTTTGCAGTAAAAAGGGTCTGCAGTCCTATACATTCACTGTACGAAAAATAGCAGTCTACTATTTTACACTGGTATTCCGAGAGAGCGTGGTTTTTATCCCGGTCGAATCGACCCATTCGTGCTACAACTATAATATAGCTGCTGTATGGTTCTACCACGTATAGGATATAATATACAGGGTTATTTTTCAAAGAATAGCCAAAGTTCAAACATACGTTCAAATATATAAATTACGATATATATATTGCAGTTTTTTGAAAATACGTGTAAATAAGGCTTCTACTTTTATTTGAAACTATCCCAAACTAAATGTAATTTATGGGCAACAACTTTTTTGCCTACCGACCGACCCTTACGAATGTGTGCATGCGCAGTAAAATTAGTTAAAATAGTGCATTACCACGTATTTCGAATTTAAAAGATAAAAAGAACAGAATGGTTAAGGATTTTTTTTAATAAATTTTTCTTCAGCATTTGCTTATATTACTTATTCTCAACCTTCTCTGCAAATTTGGCCGGTTATTGCAAAATAACCCTGTATATAGGAAGGTTCATATATTTTTTTAGAATTATACCTAAAAAAATTTACTAGTTAACATTTCAATTATTATGTATACATACGTCTGTTCTATAAGAAAGCCATCTTGGCGTAAAAATAAACCGATATTTAGGTTTTAAAATAATTACTTCAGAACCTATATACTGTGTACAAGCAACAAAAAAGTAAAGCATTAAAACTTTAATAATATAATAAGATAACACAAAAAGAAACGATACTTCAACACGCTAGCGACCGTAAATCCCCTAGAGTTCTCTTTACAAACAGACTTTAAACTTTTTCAATAAGATCATAATATAACTTGTAAAATTGGTCACAAAATGTATCTTAAATGATAAATTCATTTACAAGGAACACCATGGTTTTGGGTAGAATTTACGAGCTGATAAAGAAAGAAAGAAGAAAGATGTGTGCGTGAGTGTGTCAACAAGTTGAGCATGGTTGTGAATCATTTTCAATTGAATTTATATAGTTAGTAGTTGGTATAAAGTATTTATTATAAATTTTATATGACCTTGTCAATTGAACTGCTTTTATTTCCTATAGCATTTTCAAGATTCTATATTATACAAATAGCTATAATACAAAATTTTATAACACATATTTTATTTTATACATTAAAAACATAATTATTTAAAAAATAAAATAAAAAAAACCAGTAACTTCAAAGGAAACTCGATGCATAATTATCTAATAATTTAGTCATTTAATAAATTTACTTTTAACTTGCCAATAAAAAACCAAAAAATATTTTAAAAAAAAAAACAATCATAAACGTTTGCAGTATTAATTTTAATCTCATTCGAAAATAATGTCATTTAATAGCTAGGCATTATATTTCATTAGATTAAACCATATACGTAAAAGACAAAATTGAAACGATTGCCATCCCTTAAAGCTAAAAATGTACTCATGACAAAATACGGTGAGCCTATAAAATAAGGCAAATCGAAAGCTTTAATATTGCAAGTAAAGAAAACTGCAAATAGTTTTTCAAGTGACCACATAAGTAAATAATATTTTTTTTAATTATGTGTTTATTATTTCATTTGTTATAAGTAAGAAAAAAATATTTATAACAAAATAAATAATAAGCACTAATAAATCGTGCTCTCAAAATGATCTCATAATGTCAGAACAAGTTAACTAATTCGTGAGTAGGTAAGAGCTAAACACTAGAGATCGTGACCTCTCTGCTTATTATTTACTTTTTTGTTGTTACTTTTTTCGTATCGTTACTAATTTAATTTATTTTTAAAATATTCTTCTATATGAGTACATTAATAGGTTCAATGGATGCCAATGACTTTAATTTCACACTATTTATATATCATGATAGACATTTTTTGTATTTGCTCCAAATATTATTTGTAAATAGAAGTCACGACATTCAGTCTGGAGAGAGACTTAAGAAAAAAAAATTGTGAATCAAAACATTGAAGTAATATGTACTACGTACTAGAACAGACAACGCAAACAAAATGATGCGGGGCAAGGATAGGGAGGCACAAAGTACCGTTTTACTACGGCACCGATTAAGTTTGAGCCCATGGGTTCTAACGCGTATTGCAAACAACCCAAGTCGCGCCATCACTTTTTGAACTAGTACACACATTTTATTCCAATGCTTCAAAATTAGATCCATTGGCCAAATAAAAACTTGTATAGATAAAGGTCGATTTATTTAGGATACAAAGGCGATAGTCGGTGTTTTAATACCACGCATATATCGATACGATTTTGAGCAGTCTAACCAATTTATTGCTAAGATATTTAAGTCACTGTATATTCACTCTCACCAATTGGGTTTCTTGTGGGTTATTGTCCATTGTTGGAATGTATTGTTGGGATCGCACGGGGCTAAGCCAAGAGTCCTAGACTGCGGCTGCAGTGTTAAGCAGTGGCTGTGGAGACGGTGGACGAGTTGGTTGTGTACCTCGTCGTAACTGAAAAATATTGATTGAAATTAGATATTATGCATACTGTTTTTTTATGTTTTATTTTATTGTTCTTAGTCATTATACCTTCAGTCATTTATAATCGTTTTTAAAGGTGTGATCTTAATGAGGTAATCACATGTAATTACAATGAGACAGGTGTAAATGAAATGGAAACGATTTTTTCGGAGCGGATATGTGTGCGAGACCACCTTGACTTTGATTCGTTCAATGTGCGTTCGGCTCGGATAAGTGTGCGTTGACCTTTATACATTTATGCAAATATTAACCATTACAAAGTTTTCACATGTAGATTAGAAAATAATGATGGACCATTCAACAATTATCTTTTAACTTAACCTAGTATGATAAAACACTTATAAGTTACATACCCTCTGAACAATTAAGAAATCCCGTCGCCAAAATTCACTTTAAGGGGACCAGGCATTGTTTGGTAGTTATTGTTACAAGTGGTAAAATTAAAAATATTTGTACAACCAACAATTTCAATATAAATAAAATGAGAACATTATCAATGTTGTCCAAGTCAATTAAATACGTATTATTAAGGATAACTCAAAAACTTAAATGATATAAAATTAAAATAAAATTTATATGCGGCCACATGAGAAGCAACAGCATTAAAAAAAGAATCATCAAAATCGGTACATCTAGAAAAAAGTTCCGAGTTAACGCACGTAAAAAAATACAGTCGAATTGAGAACCTCCTCCTTTTATTGAAGTGGGTTGAAAACAAATCTGAGATAAATGTGTCTACAAAGATACTTAGTAAAAGATGGACAACTTGCTAAAATAAATAACCACTATGCACAGACTTTGAAATTTTGCAGGATTCGAATTAAGGACCCTTTGCATAGTAACCACGCTATACAACGTGGTCGTTGTTGTTTAATATAATATTTTGAATTACAACAAAATAGTTATTATGTGTTGAAAGAAAAACACACAGCGTCGATATGAAGAATGTTTTGTGAACATACCTTTTATTCCCACGATGTTGGTAACTTGATTTATAGTACCTGCTTGTCACCGGAGAGGGCGCCACTTTCTTTACCATAAATGTTTTTGTGAAAGTATGGCACCACTGTAAAACTGTCAACTAGTCATAGTGTCTTCAACAGGAAGATATTCCTGTGACGCTGTGTGTTTTTCTTTCAACACATAATAACTATTTTGTTGTAATTCAAAATATTATATTATGTGTTTACTTAAAAACACACAGCGTCGATATGAAGACCTGTTTGATATCTTCTGGTGACAAACACAAAACGCTATGTGATAAGAAATAATGTTTATTAATTAATCAACAAATTGTAATAAACTATAATTCAAGACAAATGTGTAACATTAGAATAAGAAAACTTCTATTATTTATTTAACAGTAAATTATATAAATTCTCAAATAAATCAACACATTTATATTTTTATAATTAAACAATTTACTCTGGTTGAAAATTATTGAAAAGTAATTCAGACCTTTTAGATTTCTTTTCTACCTCTTTACAATAGAATTTTCTGAAAGTATTCTCACTTTTCCAGTTTCCTCTTGCCAGTATTTCATCCACTGGATGATCTTCTACCCAACTTGCAGAGGCCACTGCTGATCTAAATGATCCTAGGGATGCTGTAATCCCTGCATCCTTTAATACTGTTTTAATCCAGCCACCAATCACTGTTCTAGAGGCTGGACGTGGTTTACCAATAATTGTAATAAATAAATGATTCAATCCTTCTTGTTCATTTATTATTATGTCAATTAAACGTCTTATCCATAATACTGGGCATACTTTCTGATTCGGATGCTTAAGTAATGACCATCCAGATTGCCTATGACATGCTGAGTCTGTCTTTGATCCAAATATTGGCCATAAGGTTACCTTGTTATCAATGAATCTTAAATTTGCTTCTGATATTTTAAGCAATGTGAGATCATGAACTCTTCTACCAGATGCTAGAAGAAGAATTGCTGCTGTTCGTCTAGACACTTCGAATATGGTGTTTTTAATGCTGGATGTTGCTAGCCAATCAAAAACAATTTGTACATCCCATATAGGAGCTTTGCTTTTAGGTGGTTGTGCCATGGCAATAGCTTTCAGAATTTGATGCACCAATGAATTATCTTGAGCTTGATTTTGATCAATTTTACAAAAACTATATATTGCTGATTTATGCACTAAAATGGTGCTATAAGCTAATTTTTCTTCTAAGTGTAAGTGGGCTAGAAACCTTGCTATTTGATGTGGTTGTGGAAGATTGCAAGAAACATTATTTAAGTCACACCATTTTATCCATCGTTTAATAGCTGGATAGTAAGTACCTAATGTTGACGGTCTCCAACTAGAATTTAATAATTGTTTTTCTGATTCTGACCATCTACTAATTGATTTTGCCCACCTACAACTAACCAGGCCTGAAGGTTCAGTTGGTCTGCTTGTGGTGGAGGAAGACCCGTTGCGGTGTCTATCAAATTCTCCGAAATTTTCTCTATTGTCACTGGTGGTTCCAGTGCCCGATTTTTTAAATCTGCTAGCCAAAAGGTCTTTTCCCATAGAGGAGCTATTAATATGTAATGACCCTTGGCACGGTTCAATTGAGCTAATACTCGAGGGATCAAGCTGGGAGGAGGAAATATCCACCCGAGCCGAAAATTCCAGTCCTGACTAAAGGCATTTGGGAATATTGCCAAATTGTCTTTCCAGTCTAAGGAGACGTATCTGCTGACCACGGCGGTTTCTGCAGACGCGAATAGATCGACATCTGGGATTCCCCAACGATGGAACAATTGGTTTGTTACAGCGGGCAGCAGATGCCATTCTGACAGTCGCCGTCCCCGTGAGAGGTGATCGGCTGTGCAGTTGTACCTCCCCGGGAGGTAGTGTGCTGATAGGAGAATATTTTTCCTGTCGGTCAGCTTCAACAACTTGCACGTCAGATTGAGTAAACTCATTGAGTGGGTCCCCCCGTCGTTCCGAATATACGCCACAAGGGTTCGATTGTCCGACTGGACTAGAATGTGAGCATTCTGTAGGCAGTGTGATTGTTTCTGGATTGACGCATATACTGCGAACAGCTCTTTCCAATTCGAGTGCCATTTCATCTGATCTTTTGTCCAGACTCCTGACATCATCTTCTCGTTCAACTGGGCCCCCCAACCGGTATCTGCCGCATCGGTTGTGAGGAAGTGGGTGTATGGTCGCTGATGTAGAACTGCCTTGCCCACTAATGAGTGACTCCACCACCTGAGGTCCTGTCGTACTTGTGGTGGCAGGACTCTTTTGTTTTTCAAGTTTTGCTTGAAGCGTTTTAGCAGTATTTGAATGTAGCGGCAGTGCAGGCGACCCCTTCTTATGACAAAACTGGCGAAGTTTAGTTGTCCTAGAATTTTTTGCACCTGTTTTAGATTGCATGCCTTTTTGCTTAATAATTTTGTTATTGCTGTTTTTATATTTTTCTCTCCGAGAAATACATTGTGTCTGTCTTGGTGTTCCAAGTTATTCCTAAATACTCTAATTGTTGCATTGGCTTCAGCACAGACTTTAGGTAATTTATTTGCCAACCCATAGACTCCAAGAGTCTCACGACTTCCGCAGTCTGAGAGACCAGCTTGGCTTGGTCCTGGTGAACCAATAGGAAATCGTCTAGATAGACTAGAACCCGAATTTCCTTGTTTCGCAGGATCTCCGCGATCCAGTTTGTAACCGCTGCAAAAGTGCGAGGAGCAGATGCCAGGCCAAAAGGAAGCGAATTTATTTGTAATAGTTTGTTGTTGTATATCATCCGGAGATAGCAACGATGGGATTCTGCAATTGGTATGTGGAAATAGGCATTGGATATGTCTATTTTCACCATCCAGTCCCCCTTTTGAAGGAATTCTGGTATTGAGGCATGGGATATCAGTTGGAAATGTTTGGTATGGACATACCTGTTGAGTCCTCGCAGGTCGAAGACTGGTCGGAAGGATCCATCGTTCTTTGGTATTATAAACATCTTCGAAAGGAAGCTTGGACTTGGAGACTTTGGTCTCTCCAACACTTGTTGCTTCTTTGTCTATAATTATTTTTGTCATTTCCTGTGACTCTTTGGTCTTGTATAGTCTTTTTATAGTAACTGATGGGTAATTTAGAGGGGGTTTGTTTGAGAAAGGGATACGAGCTCCAGAAATTATTTTCATTATAAAGTCGGTTGCTCCCAGCGCTTCCCATGCTTGCAAATGATTCTTCAAGCAGCCCCCTTTGAATACCTGTCGATAGTCATTTTTTTTCTTTGGGGCGAAAGGAACTGTTGTTACCTCTTTGTTCTTTCTTAAATTTTTTATTACTATTTTTTTTGTTACCACGGTATGCAGTGCTACGGTTCCCCTGTGAAGATTGGTGATATATTGAAGTTGCAGTTGCAGGTTCATATTGTCGTTTCTTAGGTATTTTATTTTCTTTCAAATAAGTTGGCATATTAAGCCACACACTTGTCCCTCCTAGAGATTGTATCACCGGTAATAAACTATTATGCTCGAAAAGGTGTTCTGCACTTGGAGGCAGCTTTCTGAGAGTAGCTTGTAGGTTTTTATTTGAGATCTCTGATAAAATGCGTTCTCGTCTTATTTCTATGCACTCTGTTCTCTTCCCACAGACAACTTGTACAATTTGTTCCATATTCTTATAATATTGAGTGTTAGGTCCAAACACTGTCATAATCTTATTAAACAGATTTTCTGGTGTCAAATCACTTGACGACTTATTTGATCAATTTACAATCTCTTGTAAATTGCTCCGTACAATTTCCTTGTGTTCTAACAAGCCATTTGTAAGACCAGCCAAAGTTTTTTCTGTGTTTGCTAAGTAGTCTTTTCCCTTATTCAGGTGACACAATTCATCATTAATCTTTAGTTCGATAAAACCTGGTTTAGCTAAAAAATTTTGTAAGACCTTAGAATATTTTACCTCTTTCCACTCCTCAGTTCCAAAGTGTTGTAATTTTACTAAGGATTCCAAACGACTTTGCGATGCATTCTTTATTACTTTGTTATTGTCAGTAACAGTGAAGACCTCACCTAAATTGAGCTGATTTGAATTTGGCTTTACTAAGAATTCGGAACTGTCAGTACTGCCTTCGACGTAGAAGGCAATAATGTATTTGATGTAGAAGGCAATGCTGTATTTATAGGCAAATAATATTGAAGACAATTAGTAAGGTGACTTACTTGGTGTATTAGTGCTTCGAACCGCGGGTCCGAATTTACGTCATTGGTTTTAATTCTTTTATTTGGAGGACGTGAGGACTCACTTTCAGACTCCGAGTCTGATTCTCCCCTGTCTCCATCCGACGATAAATCCAGATTCTCTCCGCGAGAAGACGAGTTCTGATGCGGAGACTCCTCACTCTGATTTTCCATTAAAGAATCGTCTACTTTTTCCATCTCACTATGAAACTTTTCTTCGGATCTAATTCCGTAATTTACTCACTTTAACTCTTAACTTGCTCACTTTTTTAGCAAGAGAATTTTTTTCTAGCATTCACGCGGGAAAATCACAATACGCTATGACTAGTTGACAGTTTTACAGTGGTGCCATACTTTCACAAAAACATTTATGGTAAAGAAAGTGGCGCCCTCTCCGGTGACAAGCAGGTACTATAAATCAAGTTACCAACATCGTGGGAATAAAAGGTATGTTCACAAAACATTCTTCATATCGACGCTGTGTGTTTTTAAGTAAACACATAATATCTATTATATCACATACATCGATTGACAACTTAACTGCCCATATTTCACTCTCTGTTCTACCCAAGGTTAACTGGTAGAGAATGCCATATAGCATTAAGCTCGCCATTTGTACAAAATCTTTGGTGCAATAAAGAATAAAATATGGAGATTAGTGGTCCAGCATGTTACTACGACTTGATAGAATCAGGCGTTACTTTGCGGTAAGTAAGCTCACTTAGCGGCCAGCCTCCGCAGAGTCACCTGAGGATGCCTCGTGTAGAGGCGAAACACGTGTCGTATTTTCGAGAGTGGTGTGTCGTGCCTAGTGTGGTGGTGCTGGGGGTGGTATTGCTGGGATATCGGCGACGGGTATAGTGCGCACGATTGAGGGAGGGTGGGAGGTCCCCTTAAAACTGGGCAGGCCACATAATTTTCTTTCTTTACGCGGAATTAAGCAAATTAGTTTATAACAACCCCATCTACTACGACTTGACAAGTGAGCGTATTTCCGACAATGTACACTCACCATACGAAACAGCAGCATTAAGCTGCTATTTCACACTGCTATTCTGTGAGAACTCGGTCTTTCCCTGTTCGAACCGACCTATTTGTGCTAGAACCATAATATAGCTATAGTGACAAGTGTGCGTGTTACTGCAACATGACAAGCGAGCGTGTTACTGCGATTTGACAAGCGAGTGTTATTACGATGTAACAATTGTGCGTGTTACTGCGACATGACAAGCGAGCGTGTTACTGCGATTTGACAAGCGAGTGTTATTACGATGTAACAAGTGTGCATGTTACTGCGACATGACAAGCGAGCGTGTTACTGCGATTTGACAAGCGAGTGTTATTACGATGTAACAAGTGTGCATGTTACTGCGACATGACAAGCGAGCGTGTTACTGCGATTTGACAAGCGAGTGTTATTACGATGTAACAATTGTGCGTGTTACTGCGACATGACAAGCGAGCGTGTTACTGCAACTTGAGAAGCGAGTGTTATTACGATGTAACAAGTGTGCATGTTACTGCGACATGACAAGCGAGCGTGTTACTGCGATTTGACAAGCGAGTGGTATTACGATGTAACAAGTGTGCATGTTACTGCGACATGACAAGCGAGCGTGTTACTGCGATTTGACAAGCGAGTGTTATTACGATGTAACAAGTGTGCGTGTTACTGCGACATGACAAGCGAGCGTGTTACTGCGATTTGACAAGCGAGTGTTATTACGATGTAACAAGTGTGCATGTTACTGCGACATGACAAGCGAGCGTGTTACTGCGATTTGACAAGCGAGTGTTATTACGATGTAACAAGTGTGCATGTTACTGCGACATGACAAGCGAGCGTGTTACTGCGATTTGACAAGCGAGTGTTATTACGATGTAACAAGTGTGCGTGTTACTGCGACATGACAAGCGAGCGTGTTACTGCGATTTGACAAGCGAGTGTTATTACGATGTAACAAGTGAGCGTGTTACTGCGACATGACAAGCGAGCGTGTTACTACGATTTGACAAGCGAGTGTTATTACGATGTAACAAGTGAGCGTGTTACTGCGACATGACAAGCGAGCGTGTTACTACGATTTGACAAGCGAGTGTTATTACGATGTAACAAGTGAGCGTGTTACTGCGACATGACAAGCGAGCGTGTTACTACGATTTGACAAGCGAGTGTTATTACGATGTAACAAGTGAGCGTGTTACTGCGACATGACAAGCGAGCGTGTTACTACGATTTGACAAGCGAGTGTTATTACGATGTAACAAGTGAGCGTGTTACTGCGACATGACAAGCGAGCGTGTTACTACGATTTGACAAGCGAGTGTTATTACGATGTAACAAGTGAGCGTGTTACTGCGACATGACAAGCGAGCGTGTTACTGCAACTTGAGAAGCGAGTGTTATTACGATGTAACAAGTGAGCGTGTTACAACATCTGACACTATTCTGACGATTTGATCACGTGATAATTCAATCGTTGAATTTGAAGTTATAATTGACTGTGCTTTGAAAGTAATGTGGTCGTGTACGATGTGTCGTCCCCTACAAGACCTGTTACTATGATGTGAGTGAGAGTGAAGCGATCGTGTTTAATGTGCGATTGGTTACCTCCAGGGCCATCGACGGTGCCGATGCAGCAGATAGCCTGCTTGAGGCTGTCGTGTGTTAAGTGAGGGTGTTACTGCATCATGACAAGTGAGGGTGTTACTGCGTTGCCTCGAGTGAGCGTGATATAGTGAGCATATTGCTATGGTCTGACAAGCAGTCGTATTACTGTGATGTTGAAGTTGTAAGCGAGTATGTTTTAAAAGAAATGCGGTCGTGTGCAATGTGAGGTGGATAAGATCTGTTATTATGTTGTGAATGTGAGTGATGAGCGAGTTTGTTCTAAAAGTGATGCGATACGCGATCGTGTTCTTGGTGCGCGCTCACCTCCAGGGCCCGTCGACGGTGCCGAGGCGGCAGATGGCCTGCTTGAGGCTGTCGCTGTCGGCCTCCACGCAGCGCTCGCCCACGCCCAGCTGGCCGGCCTCGTTCAGTCTGAACAGCTGGTTGTTGCCGGCGCCGTGACATGTCGACGTGCCTGTTGTTCATGAAATTATTATGATATTGCCGTATAATAAAATATTATTTATTAAAAATAATATTACAATTTAAAAAACCTAAACAACACGCATCGCTGATTTTTTTTTATAGCATAGGGTGACAAACGAGCACAGTTCACCTGATGGTAAGTGGTTGTCTATCTACATTTATCCTCAACAAAGAATCAAAATGCAGATGCGTCGTCACACGTGAGGACTAAGATGGAATGCCTGTTTTCTAGTAAAATGGGTCTCCGGTTCTCTACACTCATCATACGAAACACAGCAGTGTTAAGTTGCTATTTTACGCTGTCGAGCCGACCCATTCGTGCTACAACTATACTACTAATATAGCTGCAAAATGGCTCTACCACGTTAGAAAAGCTGTGATGATCCTAGTGTGAATACCAAGTCATAGTCATGAGAGTATTGAATTGTCACCGGTACTTAATACGTCTGCAAAATTTCAAATCAATCAGATTCCCTCATTGCCTCACGGGTTGATTTTACCGTAGTTGCCAAGCTTGGCCAGAGGGTTGGCAACCGCAGTTTTTTAATTATTTTCAGTTGTTATCAGGAAGATGCTGCTGTCCGTCTCCTGTTTCAGTTTCCCTCCGTCGTCTCTTACGACACCCACGGGACGATATGGGGTAGTGGATATTCTTATATCGCCACTAACGTCACCTTAGAGTTTATTCATATCAAAATAGTTTCAATTAAACCACCTAGCGTCTGTTGTACCTTACGTAACATTGTACCTTAAGAGTTAAATCAGTCAATTTGTTCTATAAAATTACTAATAGAATGAAGTAGATGGCGCTATTACTTTACAAGCGTTCAGTATTAGACACGCAAAAGTATTGCGCGGAGGTTGTACATAACTACTTCTTTTTTTCTTAACACTCGATTTCGCTCCCCATCTAATTTGTGTACCGCGGACTTTATATGAAAATCGATTCTATAGGAAAATCAGTTCTTTAGAAATAATCTCGAAAAATTTTAATACGAAAAATTGCTATGCTTAACACTCTCTGGCAGCACTCTAGCTCTGGTAATTTCACAGTGTACTAAGAAGTAGACATTGAGGCGATGAGAACTCCTGTTTGCGAACACTTTGTTTAAATAGTTGTAATCGGTTAAAATATAGGTTGAAAGTGACAACCCTTGGTTGTAACAAAACATGGCAAAATAACCGTCACATCACGGCATCACTAGTATGGTAACTTTGCCAAGTTAGTTTTATAGGTAAATGTTAAGACCAATATGTTAAAAACGATATATATATATTTGATAACCATTAATATTACGTTACTACAAAGATATCTATTTATATTTTAAAAAAAAAAAACTAAAGTTCTAGAGCTGAACAAAGAGGTTTCGCAGGCACAATGCGCGTTAAAATAAAATGTCAAAATTAACTCTCATGTTGCCTTATCGAAAGCAATGCTGTCAATTAGTTATTGTATTTTCATCCAAAACATGGCTGATCTTGAAAAACGTTACGTTTTCGGTGTTAATCGTAATTTTGTACCAGTACACCCCTGATGGTAAAGTTGACATGCATTAGTAAAGTTGCCAGACCTTACTGTACGCAACGGATTTTGATGCGATTTTCATCAATAGACCGAATGATTCAAGAGTAAGGTTTTTATGTATAATACATGCATGTTATATATTACGGTGCGTACATTTATTATATAACATAACATGTTATATAATATGTTTTGGTAATGTGGAGACTGAATGTTATAAAATGTGTTATATAAAGTGACACAAATGTTATATAACTCGAGAGTATTTTTCTCTAGTCAATAAACTATGTTTATTTGGGACGAACCCAGTATCTATGTTTTTTTCTTTTGTTATTTAAAAGTACAAGAGTTGCTGCAGCAGCTAGCAAAGCGTCTTCTAGTGTCGACATTGTGAAAAGCACTACAGAACGACAAACGACAATGTCATATAACATTGTTATATTGCATTGTTATTCTAATATGTGTACAGTAATGTCATATGTTGCAATGTTGAAATACAAGGTAACATAATGTGGACGTGTTATAAAACAAAAGTTACACAACATATTACTTAATCTCTACGCACCCTAATATAATTTTATAATGGTTTAGATTCACAATTGGACCCGGTAGGTGGTATTGTTGTCGAGATCCTGAAATCAACCGTGCGAAACCGGGACGCATCGCTAGTAAAACATTTAATAGTTATTGAAATTGCTATTGGTTCAGAAGAACCTTTGTCCTGTAACGAACCAATATAAGAGACTCAGCAAGGCTTTTTTCAGTCAGGTATGGTTTACTTACTAATATAAAATTGGTTAGCTTGTATTAGTAAACCTTTTTATACAAACTTCATTTAATTTAAAAATAATTGGTAATTTTTTTTTATATTTGTCGGTCCGCGATAGTCTAATGAAGATGAACAGAATCATTTTTCTTCAGACTTTTATTAACATTGAATCAAATTAGAGTAAGGAATTATAAAACTTACCAATATATGCCGGAGCAGCTTTACCCATTGTGTCTAAACAAACACCTGCAGCCTTATTCTTCACCATGCCCCAATGTATATTCTTCGGCAACTTGGGGAACTTATCATAAACATCATAAGCCACATTCTCCATGAACCAACCAAAGCTTTTACACTTCAGCCTTTCCTTCAACGCCAGCTGTTCACTAATGTCGCCCATATCTAAGAACCTGGCCATCGGTTCCCTCGTGTAGAAATACTCCTTATGCTCCTCATCAAACCAAGTCTCAATCACTCTCTTGTAGTTGATAGTTATAAGCGATCCCTTGCGATTCTTCGCTAGACTTCCGAAAGAGTAAGGCATGAACGCTCTGTAAACATGTCCAACTCTTGAACAGGGCACCCATTCTATACTCCCACCGCATTGCCATATCTTGAAGCTCAATTCGAAGTTCTCTCCACCCCATACTAAAAGACCAGGATCATAAGCCCCAATCTCAAGGAAATATCTCCTGTTAATTGCAAACAATCCGCCAGCATGTGTGGGGCTTTTGTATGGTTCGGACTTATGCTTGTGGAGGCTCGCTTCTCTTTCAGGGACCTCGTTCTCTTTATAAAGCATCCCCCACTCGAAGATGCCTCTATAGTTGGTACCGTGCTGATACACTGGTCGATATTCGAAGGTCCTGTGGTCGATTCCGTCTATAACCGGCACAGTCATGATCCTGTAGTCTCTGTAAATTGGGGCAAGTAGTGGAGGGAGCCAGTTGACATTGACCTCGCAGTGGGCGTCGAGGAAAACGATCACGTCGCCGGTGGCCTCCTGTGCACCTCTTGAGCGGGTGCGGATTAAGCCCTCCCTTTGTGTATTCCTAATCAGGCGCACTTTGCCATTCCATCTTTTAATGTAGTTATCGAGGTTTTCTTTTAGGTTATCCTTATCGGAGTAGTCATCCACCTATAAAACAAATGCATATATGATAATAATCGACGTTATCTATACAAATAAATAAAATTGAAGTGTCTGTTTGTAACGTCAAAATAACAGCTTTTTAATAAATGCATATGAAAGTACATACGGTACTTATAACAAAACCACAATTTTTAAAATTTTTGTCTGTCTGTCTATCTGTCTGTTTGTTCCCGCTAATCTCCGAAACGGCTGGACCGATTTCGACGGGACTTTCACTGGCAGATAGCTGATGTTATAATGAGTAACTTAGGCTACTTATATTTTAAAAAAAGAAGTAGGGTTCCGCGCAACATAATTAAAACCCTAAATTACACGCGGGCGAAGTCGCGGGGAACAGCTAGTATATAATAATAGTCGACGGCTCTATGGCGCAATGGCTTAGCAATGAGTTGCAGCGCTAAGGGCCGCAGATTCGAATCCCGCACGAAACAAGTATTTGTATGGTCTACATTCTACAAATAATTGTTCCGGGTTTTGATGTTTGTCCTTGTGAAATTTATGTATGTAAACTGCTTGCCTGTATGCCCGCGCCATACAGGAGAAAATCATAGTGTGTTGGTAGTCTTTTAAAAAAAAAAGATATTTAAAGAATGCGTCATATAATAATAATATAGAGACATTATAACTATTATCGTTTATAACTATATTATTTCAATCCATCCATCTAACCATCCATTAAACATAGGCTCGGCTGTTGCTACTTTTGGCACATTTGTGGGTTTTTTTTATAGAATAAGGGTGACGAACGAGCACACAGTCCACCTGATGGTAAGTGGTTGCTGTGGCCCATAGATATCTACATCTATCTTCGATTACGAATCAAAATGCAGATGCGTTGTCACCCGTGAGGACTAAGATGGAATGCCTCATATACAGTAAAAATGGGTCTCCGGTTCTCTACACTCACCATACGAAACACAGCAGCGTTAAGCCGCTATTTTACGCTGGTATTCTGTGAGAGCGTGGTCCTTCCCCGGTCGAGTCGACCCATTCGTGCTACAATCACAATATAGCTGCAGCATGACTCTACCACGTACAAAACTGGTTGCTACATTTGTGGGTTGTCTTGTTAACCACAGTTTTTATTGTAATGAGTCGTTTTCAGGAAGATGAATTTATTTCAGTTTCCCTCTGTCGCCACTTACGATACCTATAGGGCGATATGGAGTAGTGGATATTCTTACACTGCAACTACACGGTTTAAATACAAAACCCCACACATTTATTTTGATGATTACTATATTGATATAACTAAATTAGATATTCCGAATGTAGCCTAAGGGCGCATTCCGACGACACGCACCCGCTACGCGCACGCCACGCGCTTTTGCACCCGCGTCTAACTCGTTTTGAAATTTGTTGCATATAATTTGAGTTTTATGACAAATCAATAAATCTGAAATGGATTTTATCGTATATATTTCAATCACTTCAATATATTTATAGACATTGAATTTTTTTTCATTATTGAAGAACTAATAAATGATTGGTAATTACTTTATAATAGAATAAGGCTAGCGTATGGCCTTCTGATACAAGTGTTTTAAATACTTAAAAGGAGGTCACAGCTATAACACTGTATCTATGACGGCATCCACAACTTTTTCTGCCACCAGGGCGGCGCCACTTAAAAGTGAGGTATAATATTTGACAGATTTCATAGCGGGGAAGTTAATTTGTTTGGAAAATGTTTCTTTCTGTACTATTAGTTATATTTTATATTAATTAGATTAAAAATAAATAAACCAAACAACAGATATTCACAAAAGTATAAACATTAAAAAAAAAAGTTAAAAATGTGCAAAACTTAAAGAGCAAGCCACTGAGGCATTGTTTTGTGTATTAATATAATACTCTAGAAACTGACAAACTTTTATTAAAAACTAACTTCTCAATTAAATGACCTTGTGTAGCAAAAAACTTTACCTCAGTGTCAATTAGCGACATCTGTTGAGCAGAAAATTATTAGTCCTCACTTACAATGTCCTTATTACCCAATAAATGCTATTAAATATTATGAAATAAATAAGAACAACATACCAAAACCACTTCGTGTAGTATATGCGGTGGTGATCGATCGAAGACCGAGTGTACCGTCCTCATGAGTACGGAGAAGCCCTCATTATGAAATACGATGATTACAGAGGTTGAAGGTAGGTCTTTGGGATAGTGCCAGTACTTGCACTCTTCCAGACGTGTGTCAGGGATCGATCTGATAAAAAAAAAACAATTTTGAGCCATATTTTCATTATCGTCAGCCAGGTCTTTTATTATACATGCTACATATGTATGGTTGTAACATGAATGGGTCGGCCCGACCGGGGTAGGACCACGCTTTCACAGAATACCAGCGTACAATAGCAGCTTAATACTGCTGTGTTTTTCGTATGGTGAGTGTAGAAAACCGGATACCCTTTTTACTGGAAACGAGGCATTCCACCTCAGTCCACATAGCCTGTAGCTATACCTACTGGTTTACCTTTCAAAACGGAGCACAACATCATACAGATACTTGACGGCAAAATATGTAAGAGGGTGCCGGCAATCCAGACAGAAAAGCAAAATATCATATAACTGAATTTGGTAGATTTTTCTTTAAAGGACCTATGAAACTATTTGATGTCATCATCATTACAGTCCTTCACAAGTCAACTGCTGAACATAGGCCTCCCCCAAAGATCGCCACAAAGCACGGACCTGATATATTTATGCTGAATATGCTTTTGAATATTTGTTTTAAGAAAATAAAGAACACGCACTCACGAGCACGTAATGGACCTAAAATGATTTACTACCAACATGGTTCTAGATGCATGTGCCCTTACAATAACTTGAGCATTGTCTTCACTTGAAATGTATGTACTGTTCTATCCTTAATTAGTCTGACATTTCGGATATCTAATCTAATATATAAAAATAATGTTGCTTTGTTCGTATTGCCATACTGCCATACCTTTCATCAGAACACACTAAAACTTTGTCAATTTATTGCTTGCACTTACGAGAATGTTATAGGCATAGTAAAATTAACTAACAGTAGGTGGCGCGCGAATCGTACCGACAACTTTATTTGAAAGTTACGTATCATTCAACTTCAATGAATGTATTATTATTCCTAATCTATCTATACATGTAATAAATCTGTTGAAAAATTGTGTGTTCAAGATTCACGCAAAAACTATCGAACGAATTTATATAAAATTTTGTATATATGCAGGAAATGATCGTGTGTAACATATATGCATATTTTCGTCCGCTTACGGAAGAATAAGTTATTAAAAATTTTGTAAAACCGACTTCAATATAAATTATTAAGAATGACTCAAAGACTATTTTACTCAAAGTCAGACTTTTAAATTTATACGGGACCACATGTGAAGCACCAGCTTTCAAATAAAAAAAGAATCATCGAAGCGGTTCACCCAGTAAAAAGTTATGAGGTAACACAAATAAAAAAAACAGACAGTCGAATTGAGTACCGTCTCCTTTTTGAAGTCGGTAGAAAAGGGTTATATTTTTCCTTTTCTTAAAAAAAAAAGTTTATTGTCATTATGGCTGCTGATGGTTCTATTAGCCTAAAGAGGATTTAGCTATACGTATAGTAAACTCATCGCGCCACCAACAAGGGCAGAATAACGGCTGCCGGGCCAGCTAATTAAACAATATTTAACTGTTCCAAATTTAAAACGATATTTCCACAATTATTTCTTCTGCGGCAACAACGCGCCGGGATTAACTAGTCGTTTTATAACATGGTTACGTAACTACGTAACATACTTGGTGTATGTAGCATATTCACAGTATTTAAAGAAACGAAAATGTTGTAATTCAATATGTTACGTCGAAGTTCAGTGCCGAAACCAAATCTTTCCAAAGATGAACTTATAGCGTTGAATAACTTACGCATTAAACCAGAACTCATGATTCTCCACGCAGATAAAGGAAATGCCACGGTAGGCATGGATACGTCAGAATATAATCCTAAAATACAAGAACTTTTGTCGGACGTAAGCACTTTAAAAAAATACTCCGGAAAATTAAATCTGGACGTAAAATCAATAATACCTACGTATGCCAAACCACTAAAGTTGTATGGGTTACCAAAAATACGCAAGCCCAATGCTCCACTACGTCCCATAGTGAGTCAAATCGATTCACTAACATACAGAACGAAAGAATGAGAGAAGTATGATCGATTTGTTCCTGGTGGATGACCGACTGCGAAAACAGGTGATGGATACGCGAGTGTTCAGGGGTGCTGACCTGGGAACGGATCACTATCTAGTGATTACTAGATTTAGGGGGGTAGCCGAAAAGCTTGACACCATCGATGGCAGAAAAGAATGTGTAGAAAGAACATGGCAGAACCTTAGGGATGGAATGGTAAGTGCAGCGGAAGAAGTGTGTGGAACAATAAAAAGAGGCAGTAGTAAAAGAAGAGATGCATGGTGGAATGATGAAGTGAAAGAAGCTGTAAAGAAGAAGAAGAAAGCATGGTTAGACTACTTGGCCTCTAGTAATGATAAGGATATGAGCGAGAAGATGAAAGAAAGATATAGGCTGCAGAAAATTCACACGAAAGCATTGATTGAGGAAGTGCGTGAAAGGTGTAGAATGGAAGCGGACGAAAGGTTGTCGCACAACTTTAAGGAGAACTCCAAACTCTTCTGGAAAGAGGTTGGAAGGACCCGAAGTGGTGCGACGGCCTTAAGAATGAACAAACTGCTTTCGAGAACTAATGACGTCCTCTCAGAAAAATCGGACGTCATGCAGCGATGGGGCGAATTTTATAGAGAAATGTATGCGTGTGATGATCTTAGTGAGGGATCCGGGGATGACGCCGTGACTGGTACGCCAGAGCCGGACTTCGATGACACTGAGGTCATCAGTATGAAAGAGATTGAACGTGCGATTCGAAGTTTTAAAATGTGGTAAGGCTGCGGGACTAGACAGAGTTACTGCTGAAATGGTCAAGTATGGTGGGCCTCGCGTCTGGGACAGCTTTCATCTGCTGTGCAATTTGTGCTGGCGGACGGGGGATGTCCCGGATGATTGGCGATCCGCAGTCATTGTGCCTTTATATAAAGGTAAAGGTTCACATTTTGACTGCGGGTGCTATCGGGCGATCGGCTTGACCAGTTTAGCAAGTAAAGTTTACTCGAAGGTTTTGACACGTAGGATGCAAGAGAAATCGGAAAGATTTCTATGGGAGGCACAATGCGGATTTAGACCTGGAAGAGGATGCACGGATCAAATGTTTTCTCTCCGCATGATCACGGAAAAGCTTCTGGCTGTTAACCAGAAGATTTTCTATGCTTTTGTGGATCTTGAGAAAGCATTTGATAAGGTTGTAAGGAAGAAAATGTGGGAACTGTTGCCGGGATATGGTGTGGATGGTCGATTGCTAAGGGCTATGCAGTCTCTTTACTGTGACTGTAAAGCCTGTGTCATGACCTGTCACCATGTTTAGCATCCAAACGGGCGTAAAACAGGGTTGTGTCATGTCATCCTGGCTGTTCATACTGTATCTCGACAGCTGTTTACAGAAGCTGAAAGATAGCTGTTTGGGTGTGAAATTGGGTGACATAAAAGTAAATTGTCTGCTGTATGCTGATGATGCAGTGCTTATTGCACCATCAGAGGCAGAACTGCAGGCATTAGTCACGTGTATGAAAGAGGAATGGGAAATTAAAGGTCTCCGTTTGAATGCTAATAAAACTAAGGTTCTGGTATTTGAAAGGGACGAAGAGAGAACGAAGTGTGAAATATGGGTAAATCAGGAATGTCTAGAACAGGTAAATGAAATTGTATACTTGGGGAGTGCTTTTAGCCGGGATGGAAGATGTGATTTAGATGTGGACAGGCGTGTCGCTGCCGGGAACAAAGTCAATGGTGCCCTGACTGCATTAGTCAAAAGGCAAGGCGTAGTGAAGAGTGCACGCCTTGCAATACATAACGCAGTGTTGGTACCGACTTTGTTATATGGCAGCGAAACCTGGGTATGCCAGAAGAAGCATAAAAGCAAGTTGAATGCAGTGGAGATGCGATCTCTTCGTAAAATGTGCGGCGTTACCATGGCCGACCGAAAGCGAAACGAAGCGATTCGCAATATGGCAGGTTTGAAAGATGACCTTATCACAAAAATTGATAAGGGCGTGCTTCGGTGGTTTGGGCATATTGAGCGAATGAGTGAAGACCGAATGGTGAAGAAAATATATAGCGCGAAAGTTAATATTAAAAGGTGTCGAGGTAGACCGAGACTAACTTTCGAAGACCATGTGAGCAAATTGCTCGAAGAGGGGAGGGTCAAGAATACTCGGATACCTAAACGTGTATGTATGAAGAAGATAATGAATCTGAAAGAAGCGAAAGAGGTATGTAAGGATCGTGACACTTGGCGATCTGTTCTCTCTGGCTACCCCGTCAGGGATTGTGCGTGAAGATAAGTTAAGTTAAGTCTCTCTTACATAGGACAAACTAAAATACCTATAAAGACCCGCATTAAAAATACGTAGCTGATGTGAGGAATCGACGCTCCGGGAAGTCTGCAGTCTGTGAGCACGTACAGGATCGCCCCCGTCACTACATCAGATTTGATATACCACAAATCCTCGCTTAAGAACCCCGATTCCTTCCAAGGATGATTCGCGAGGCTATTGAAATCAAAAAATATCCAAGCATACAACTGCAAGACTTGAACATACTATAAGTTCATACTACATAGATCGGAACAAAAATGAACAATTTTAATCTGGAGGTAGCCCTGGTTAACTATGACATTGGTACGTCGAACACCTCAGTCCCCCCGTGTCCACGGGAAATATAAAATAAGTTAATATACGCGACAAAATCCGTAAAAACTAGAGTCATTTAAATGTGTAGTGTTCGCGTAAACATAAGAAATCATTAAGTTCGGAGATCCCTTGTTTCATTAATCACGATAGGAGAAACTTAAAGGCCCAATACAATATTTAATGCAATTTTCTTTTGACGTTTGAAACTGTTATTCACTATTTATATGATCTAGAATTTTCCTACTGCCGCAACTCCGGAAAACAGCGATAAGAAAGCGCGTATTCGATAGTAGTAAATTATTTCAATTCTAAAAACGTGCATAGAGCTGTATGTTTACTCTCATATAGGGTTACCATATCTCAGGATTTGTCCTGAGATTTCAGGATTTTTAGAATCTTCTCAGGATTGCGGCTGGGT